GGAGGGGGGGGGGGGGGGGGGGGGGGGGCTATAAAGGGTTCAGGGTTTTAAGGAGATATGGGGGCTATAAACGGTTAAGGGTTTTCAAGGGATCAAGGGGTGGAGTATGGAGCATTTACTCTTTCACTGTGCTAGATTTAAGCCGTACTGGGGTAGGACCCCAATAATCCGTAACACTCTCACGTCCATTCCCTGAACCCTCAGCCCTAAACCNNAAACCCTGAACCCAATCCCTAAGGCCCCAAATAGCCCAATGTAGGCCATTTTTTTGGACTTTGGGGCCCAAGGTCGGTATTATTTATAGACCTGGCGCCCTGGGGTATACCCGTGAACCCTAAACCCTAAGCCTAAGCCCAACAGCACCTCCATGGCCTGAGCAACCCAACGGGAGATGATCGCTGTCCTTGATAGTAGCAGTGGAAGAAGTAGTATATACTCAAGGGGTATATACTCTCAGGTCTATTGCCAGGGTTTACTGAACTTGCTAAGACCCAACCCCTCAAACATACATCCGATTCTTGTGCGCCAGTTGTTCAACTAGTGTATGAGCAAACTTATCCCGAACGCTGCACATCTTGATCAGCCCTTCTCAGTCCTGGTAAATCCTAACGAGTGCTTTTATCATCCGACCGCTGAAGCCCAAACCCTTATTCTACTGTCGCGGACAGGGATATTTCCCAAATCAAGGCCAGTCCGTGTTAGATGCTGCACTTCTTGAAAACATGGCTTCTCACACCACACTGATTTTTTCGGTTGTTGCTCATTACCACCCCCCCCCCTCCCCCCCCCCCTCACCACCCCCCAAAAAAAAGCTAAGAATCATTGTTGGGATGATGCCCGGGCATCTAAACCCTAAACCCCAAACCTTTAAAAGCCTAAACAACCTCCTAGGTACCCGCACAAAAAAATCTTTAAGCCGGTAGATTGTGTTTCCGTAAACCCTAAACCCTATATAATATATACCCTATTATAGTAGCTTCCATGTTCTTCTCCATTATCCCCATATAAACCCAATATAAACCTAATATAGCCCCTAGGAGAAAGCCCGAAAAGATGGCACTGCTCCCCTCCTGCGGGCTTGCGAACTACAGCTGAAATCCACGGTCTGCTTCTGGGTGGCAGATTTGGGTTTAGAGGTTTTGAGGGTTTTGGGGGTTTGGGGGTTTAGGATTTAGGGATCAGGGGTTTAGGGGTTTAGGGGTTTAGGGGTTTATGGGTTTATGGGTTTATGGGGTTTGGGGGTTAGGGTTTCCATAAATAGCGGGGCCCCGATATACACTTCACAAGGCTGTAACCCTCATTCATTCGGACCCCGCAGAAGGAATGCCTGTTTTTTGGCAGCTCCCATTGTTAAGCAAGTGTTACCCGGGTCTAAGGTCAACAGTTAACATTCCGCAGTCTAATCTGTGCTTTAAGGCTCAGGCGACTTAGTAACTAGGTCATGAATAAAGAGGGTATGCGCAGGCGAACCTCAAACAGAGGATGCACAATTCCGTTCATAATCTACGGCTCTGAGTAGCTCAATGTAGGTACTACTGATAGACTATTGGCCCACTGTAGCCATCATTCTTATAGCCTTAGAGCCCCAGGGATAACCTAAAGGATACGAAGTACCCGTATTGGGCGTTTTGGGCTTTAGGGCTTAGGGAGCTTGAGCCAAACAACATGAGAACTTCCCTGTATGGAAATCATACTTTACATATTGTATATATTCTATATACGTACTTAGGATCCTTTGGGCTCGCTGGTGAGACCTAAGCCTGAAGCCCTAAACCCTGGGAATCCTGGACCCTAAACCCTAAACAGCGAATTTCTTTAAACCCTAAATCCTAGACCAGCGAATTCGGGTTCAGGGTTAAAAGCCCCTAAGCCCTAGACACCTTAGAACCCTAATCCCTAAATCCTACATCCCTAAATCCCTCCATCCTAAACCCTAGATCCCTAAACTTCCCTAAATCCCTCCAAAACCACTAAGACCCTAAATCCTAAACCCCTAAACCCCAAATCCCTAAACTTCCCTAAATCCCTAAACCCACTGAATCCCAAAATCCCTAAATCCTTAAACCACTTGAGGTTTGCTCATTGAGCAAAGGGCCGTGGTGGACAGAAGGAGGGCCTGGGATGGTCAAACAGCCATTAGCAGCTTTGCTCAGAGGGTCCATGTACCCAATTATTAGGTCTCCTGTAAAGGGGATATATGGGGGTATATGGGGTTTAGGGTTTAGGGGTTTAGGGGTTTAGGGTTTAGGGGTTTAAGGTTGAGGGGTTTAGGGTTTAGGGTTTAGGGCTGAGGGTTTCCCAAAGGGTCCATGTCCATGTACTTAATAATTAGGTCCCTTCTAAAGGGGTTTACAGGGGTATACAGGGATATATCGGGGTATATGGGGTTTAGGGTTTACGGTCCACGTACCCAATATTTAGGTACTTGGGTTTAGTGTAATAGTATTTATAGTATAGGTTTTGGGTAAGTATATGATTATTCATAGTAATAGTAATAGATATAGCCATATTAATAGTAATGGTACTCGTAATAGTAACAGTAATAGATGAGGAGTCTTTGCTGCTTTCAGATGCCTCGAAGGGGCTTTGGGGGGGGTTTAGGGTTTTGGGGGTTTAGGGTTTTTTGGGGGTTTGGAAGGTTTAGGGGTGTAGGGGTTAGCGGGTTTGGGCGTTTTTTTGAGTGGTTTTGGGTGTCTAAGGCTTAGGGTTTATTAGGGGTTTAGGGTGTGGGTTAGGGGGGGGGTATCTAGCGATTCTATAGTGATGATGTACGGGTTCCTTTTTTTGCCTGGGCCCTCCAACTATTCAGACCCTCTGGCCCTGATTACTGGGACTGGCAGTGTCTTCGTGTGTATAGGGGATCATGCAGGGGTGCTATGGGGATTTGCGAGTTTGAGTAGAGGGGTGATGTTAGGGGTTACTCCCCCAACATTAACCAAGGGATCCAAACATGGTTTGCGGTCTACGGCTTGGGGTTTAGGGTTTAAGATTT